GGACTTCTTGAGACCAGGAGTTGCTATATGGTGGCTCACACCTGTAATCCCAGCATTTTGAGAGGCCAAGGCAGGCAGCTCATAAGCCCAGGAGTTCAAGACCAGCCTGGGTAACGTGGTGAAACCCCATCTCTATGAAAATACTAAAAATTTGCTGGGTGCAGTGGCATCCACCTGTAGCCCCAGCTACTTAGGAGGTGAAGGCAGGAGAATCACTTGAGCCTGGGAGATGGAGGTTGCAGTGAGCCAAGATCATACCATTGCATTCCAGTCTGGGTGATGGCAGTGAAACCCTGTCTCAAAAAAAAAAAAAAAAAAAAGTTGTTATTTAACAAATATTTCTTGACTATACCGTACCAGGCACAGTTCTAGGCTCTGGATTCATAAGTACCAAGGTCCCTGCTCTCATGGAGCTTACAGACTAGTGAAGATGGGAGCAGATGAGAAGGAAGTAAAAATGTTAACAAGATGAGGTCAGAGTGAACATAATTTTAAAAGGCACTGGAGAGGAAAAAGGAAGGGTTAGTGGATAGAGTGATCAGAGGTCTCTTTAAGGTGATTATTTGAGATCCAAAGAGGAGTGGATCTTTCATGATGAAATTCGGTCTTAAAAACTCCCACTTCAGAACGAATCTCCAGTTCTTTTTCAAAACTCCTGGGACTCCTCTGGGTTTTGCCTTCAGAGCCAATATATGAATCCCATTAACAAAAGGAGGTTTGGCCAGATGTGATGACTTGCGCTTGTCATCCCAGCACTTTGGGAGGCCAAGGTAGGCTAATTGCTTGAGTTCAGGAGTTTGAGACCAGCCTGGGCAACATAGTGAGACCCTGTGTCTACAAAGAAAAAACAAGAAAGAAAGAAAGAAAAATACAAAAATTGGGCAGGCAAAGCCATGCACGCCTTGGTCCCAGCTACTTGAGAGGCTGAGGTGGGAGGACTGCCCGTGCCTGGGAAGTCGAGGTTTCAGTGAGCTGTGATCATGCCACTGCACTTCAGAGCCTGGGTGACAGTGAGACCCTGTCTCAAAAAAAAAAAAAAAAAAGAAAGAAAGAAAGAAAGAAAGAAAGAAAAGGAAAAGAAGGTTTAATTCAAAGCAGCATTATTCAGCTTTACTATCACTTCTTTCTTTGACCCTGAACATCCTTGGGATGTTTCTGAAAGTTAATCCATCTTTTTTTTTTTTCAACTTTTTTGAGAAAGGGTCTCACTTTGTCACCCAGGCTGCAGTGCAGTGGTTCAGTCATAGCTATCACCTCAGCCTCCCAAGTAGCTGGGACTACAAGCATGCACCAACATGCCCAGCTAAAATTTTTTTTTTTTTTTTTTTAAAGACGGTTTTGCCATGTTGCCCACACTGGTCTTGAACTCCTGGGCTCAAGAGATCCTCCCACGTTAGCCTCCCAAAGTGCTGGGATTACAGGCATGAGCCACTGCCGCTGGCCAATCCAGTCTTAATACAAATGTTTACCTAATATTTTTGTGGGAAAATGTGCAATGAGCTCTGGTAGAAAGTCAAAAACTTTGTGAGGTCCTTTCTGCTATCTCTGGCAATTGTCCTCTTCTTTTGCTATTAAGTTCTTCATCCTTCTTCTTTGTAAGGGACTATAAAACAGTAGTGAAAATAAAATATTCAGCAAATAAAGGCAAGAGGAAATGGAAAAGGGACATTACTGAGATAAAGGGGGAAGTGTAAAAAGATTAAAAGAACAAACCTGAAAAATTGTTCCAAAGCTGCTTCCCTTGTGGTTGAGCTTTCCAGGCCTTGCAGCTCTCAGGCTCATTAGATCTCTAGGGTATCCTCCCCGTGGGTCACGCAACCTACTTTCCACAAACCGAGTTTCCCCTGTCTTTCCCTGATGAGATTAAGGAGGCTGTCAGCGGTGAAACACTGATGTAACTCAAATTGCTTACATGGTAATACATAACCCTGCTCTCAACTGCCTTCTCCGTTCCGTGTGTAGAATGAGTTCGTTCTATTTAAATTCCGATGTCAAACTTGCCGTGGAAACATATTGGTTTAAAGCATCATAGGTCCTGCTTGATGATCCTCAAAGCCAGCAGGGTTAAAAGAGATTGATGTATCCTCTTTACGATACTGCTTGTTACAGATCTTGGTATCACGCTGCCTCTGTATTTTAAAGTCACAACTGACCAACACAGACTTAAGTCTCGCTGGAGCACATCCAGGAAGGAAAAGATTGGTGTTTTGTGTTGATCCCAAAACACTCAACTAAGTTCACAAGGAAAGATTTCAAATACTAACACATATATAATTAAATAACTCTCAAAACCTCTTTTTACAGTTAAAAAGAAATTAAGTCTCTCAGCTCAGAAAGGCAATTCCTGGGAAGCATTATTTTTTAATGTGCCAAAAATGTCTTTGTATATCTCTGTATTGTATGCTTTTATAAATAGCAGGCACTGCTATGAGGAAAAAGTGAAGATTTCCCATTTTTATTGTAAAAAGGTACAGAAAACAGCGCCAGAGCAGAGTAGGAGTCTAAGGCGGAGGGAGTCGTGGCAGGACAGGTGTTTAGAAAGTTTCTCCCACTCTTTGACCGAGTATTGGTTGAAAGGAGCGCTGCTGAAACGGTAACCAAAGGAGGCATTATGCTTCCAGAAAAATCTCAAGAAAAAGTATTGCAAGCAACGGTAGTCGTTGCTGGATCGGGTTCTAAAGGAAAGGGTGGAGAGATTCAACCAGTTAGCGTGAAAGTTGGAGATAAAGTTGTTCTCCCAGAATATGGAGGCACCAAAGTAGTTCTAGATGACAAGAATTATTTCCTATTTAGAGATGGTGACCTTCCTGGAAGGTACATAGACTGAAGTCAGTCACTATTGAAATGGCATCAACGTGAAGCTGCCCATTCCACTGAAGTTCTGAAATCTTTCATCACGTAAATAATTTCCATATTTCTTTTATAATAAATGACAAAAAAAAAAAAAAAAGGATACAGAGAATAGAGTCCAAACGAACTCTCCAAATGAGAATATGACAGAGAACACCAAATTCCCAGATCTGAGTAATTATCAAAATTTCTGAGGTCCCAGCCTGGGCAACATGGCAAAACCCCACCTCTGGCCGGGCGCGGTGGCTCAAGCCTGTAATCCCAGCACTTTGGGAGGCCGAGGCGGGTGGATCACGAGGTCGAGAGATCGAGACCATCCTGGTCAACACGGTGAAACCCCGTCTCTACTAAAAATACAAAAAATTAGCTGGGCATGGTGGCACGTGCCTGTAATCCCAGCTACTCAGGAGGCTGAGGCAGGAGAATTGCCTGAACCCAGGAGGCGGAGGTTGCGGTGAGCCGAGATCGCGCCATTGCACTCCAGCCTGGGTAACAAGAGCGAAACTCCGTCTCAAAAAAAAAAAAAAAACAAAAAAAACCCCACCTCTACAAAAAAAAAAAAAAACAACAGAAAAATTAGCCAAGTGTGGTGGTGTGAACCTGTAGTCCCAGCTACTCAAAAGGCTGAGGTGGGAGAATTGCTTGAACCTGGGAGGTTGAGGCTGTTGAGGCTGCAGTGAGCCAAAGACGCACCACTGCACTACAGCCTGGAGGACAAAGCAAGACCCTGACTCCAAAAAAAAAATAAAAATAATAAAAATATTCTAAGGTCAAAAATTAAATATTTGCTTTTAACTTTCTACTGAAGTAGAAAAGAAAAACACAGTTTCTAAAATATCAGGATAAGCATAGCAGTAAATGTGGGTATTTTCATGTCTATTACTGGGGAATGGCAGACATGCTTCAATTAACCCCAAGATAGAAATAAAATAACCTGGGATGTCAACTCATTTTATACTAAATATTGTTTAACTGCAACTAAATGTTAGTTTCTTTCCTTCCAGTTCAGAAATAAATCTTTAATAACTTTTCTTCATTAACAGGGAAGACGAAAGTACCTCTATTCAGAGTGCTATTACTCTTTAATCCATTAATAGGGCTGCCAGAACCCAAATGCTTTTATTTTTTTCTTTGAGACAGAGTTTTGCTCTTGTTACCCAGGCTGGAGTGCAATGGCTTGATCTCGGCTCACCGCAACCTCCGCCTCCTGGGTTCAAGCAATTCTCCTGCCTCAGCCTCCCAAGTAGCTGGAACTAAAGGCACACGCCATCATGCCCAGCTAATTTTTGCATTTTTTTTTTTTTTTTTTTTTTTAGTAGAGACGGGGTTGTTCACCATGTTGACCAGGATGGTCTCCATCTCTTGATCTTGTGATCCACCCGCCATGGCCTCCTAAAGTGCTGAGATCACGCCCGGCCTCCTAATGCTTTTTTTTTTCCAGAGTAAAAATTTGTTTCTGGTGTTAAAACATTTATTTTCTTTCTTTTGAGACAGTCTCAATGATCCATGTATTTAATATTAAAGCACAATTCCATCTGACTTTACTTTTTGAGACTATCACTCAGGCTGGAGTGCAGTGGTGCAATCACAGCTCACCGCAGGTTTGAATTTCTGTGCTCAAGCAGCCCTCCTGCTTGCTCAACTTCCCAGGTAACTGAGACTGTAGGCTAGGACCACAGGTGTGCACCACCATGGCTTTTTTCTTTTTTTGTAGAGGGAAGGGTCTCACTGTTGCTCAAGCTGAACTCTGGGCCTGAAGCAATCCTCCCACCTCGGCCTCCCAAAGTGCTGGATTACAGGAATGATCCACCATAGCTGGCCCATTTTTGTAAATGAGAGATCATCATGATTTTACAATACCATGATTAACATGACTCTTATTTTGTGCATAAATAAGAGATTTCCCTGATAAACCGTTGGCTGAGCCCAGCATCTGAATGTTATTGCTTCTGTTTATTTTCTTTGCAGCAGAACTGAAAAGCTGGGGCCAATTTCAGAATCAAATCTTCAGTCTCTCAGAAGGCCCTCTCATAATACTTCAAGAACCAAATTCTTCTATTACTAAAGTGTTGTTTGCAGTTATATTAATCCTGTTTAGTAATTCCAAAACCAATGTAAAATACTATGATATATATAAAGTTGAACCAAAGTATCATTTAACATTTAATAATTGCAAATATTTTTATTGCAATTTAGATTAGTTATGTTATATACACAAATATAATTTTAACTATAAAACCCAACAAACTAGTTACATTTAAATCATTAATCTGTAGAAGCCAATTTAGTCTTCTAGTCCCCTAACTTTACCTTCCTTAAATTATACAAAAATAAAATCTTGATAGTTTTGATTTCAAGTTAAAGAAGTGTTATCACATTTCATCACTCAGAAATGGAACTTTTACCTGTCTGTACAAAGCCTTTTACATGCTACATTGACACTTAAAGCACCATTAACAAGATTATAAATGTGTAAAATGTTTAATTAAAACCTCCAAGGGTTTTCTCTATAAGATTATGGGGGTTTAACTTTGTTCTAACTAGAATTGGGATGAAACTAACAAGAATTTTGCTTATTTCTCCTTCAGTCTAACTTTAAAGCAGTCCCTTCTCTCCTTCTCATCACCTTCTGATCACTTCTCCTAAAGGATGGTAGTGTATAGAAGAATTCTTAATCAAGCTTTTAGTCATTTGGTAGTGAGGTTAGAATCCCATGAGAACAATCTCCCAAAATCCAATGAAAGATGTCTCATTATTTTCAAATATGAAAAGGTGCTAGGTTTCAGAAACAGGAAACACAACGTAAGTCTCGGAAATAAAATGCTTCAGCTTGGTTTTAACAGAATGCTTACATGTTGTCAAAAAGCTTTTTTCAAGGCAAATGATGCCTGCTTTCCAACTGACATAGCTGGTGCTTGACACCAGCCTGTAAATGTGCTCCCTACCATGACCTGAAGTGGAGGTGCACAAAACACACAGAATAAGGGCTCTGCAGAACTCAGACCAACTTTTATGGTGTGGCATTCTTAATGTGTTTAAGTATGAATATATAAATACTAGAGGCAGTTCTTAGAACAAACCAGATAGAAATAAAATAACGACCAGGTAGATTGTAAACTGAGGTAGTAACCCTGTGAGCACTTCTGATGAAAAATTCATCCCCACACTTAAAGTAAGTTCAAAACTAAGAGGTCACCTATTCTACTTGTGCTTTCCCTGATAGGAAGCACACGGAGTGAGAGCAGTCCACTGAAGAGTTGGTTAACAATCCCTCAACCTAACTCATGTGTACTTTGTAAAGCTAAACAAATTAGCCAAACACAACCAGTCAATGCAAAGGCTTCAAAGGAAACTTTGGGCTAAACATACTAAGACTGTCTAGTCATTAATCTATACTTCTTTCCTGAAAGTAAAGACCTTGCCATTACTTCTCTCATTATTAAATAGGACACAATAAACCTGTATATTGTCTGAAGTTTATATTTTACATTTCAAATGTGAAAATTCAGAACTGCCCATTTCCAATTTTACAGTGACATCCTGACAGTTTTCAAAGTGACTGTGCTGAGGCATGCTATTCATTAACACTGGCTTTCTGTTAAGAGCATATATACCAAAACCAAATTACTCTGAGATGTCTCCTATTTTCTTCCTAGGAAAATTTAGGCTTTTAAGTTTAAAAAATGCTTGTGATGTAACTATTACTTTCCAGAGTGTTTTGCAACAACTTCAACCTGTTAAGAGACAAAGAACTGTATTAAATTGGGAACTACAAAAACATATACAGAACCCTCTCCAAAGAACAGTTTGCAAAGAAATTAAATACATTAGATGTTAAAATCTGGTAGAAAGATGCAGCTTTCCCACAGTAGTAAAGTACTGCACATTCGAGTTCTGTGGCAGTCCTTGGAAATTTCCTAGGTAGAACTTAATATATTTTCAACCCAAGTCATTTTTACAAAAAAAAAAAAAAAAAAAAAAAAAAAGTGACACAAAATAATGTACTTTAAGTTGGTAGCATACAAAAGGTTATTTTTTTAGCCTAAGGTAGATAGGTGAAATCATTGAAATAAAAAAAAATATAGAAAAACATCAAATCCCATTAACTTCTGAATTTGGGGAAAGAAACAAAAAAGAGCCCAAAGTTTTCAGACAGGCATACATAATTTAGATTAGAAATGAAAATGGGTTTTAAGCCCTATAAATATCGTTTTCCAAGAAAATAAGTTTTGAAAGTGCAAAATGATAACTCAAAAAGGTCCCCTTTTCACTAAGGCAAGCAAAGGACTTTTAAAAGCACATCCAACTAAATCCAAAAAGGGAGGATTAGAAACGCTAGTTAATCCTTCGTTATCAGGGCTGGCTTCAAACCTCAATGTTTAGGAGTGGGTTATTTGCAAAAAAAAAAAAAAAAAAAAAAAAAAAAAAAAAAAATTAAACTAGATCCAAGTTATATTTCCTCTAAAACAAACAAACAAAAATGTCAAAGGACAGCTGCCAAGATTTGTTTTTAAAAGACACCTCTCAGGCAAGAGGTAGTGTATGCTAGGACTACAGGCTGTCAGCTCATCTTAACATTGCTTGAAAACATTAAGTCCTTTGAAGCATTTTCCCTGGAGTCTATTAAACATTCTTTCTCTGTGCTCAAATGTCAAGCAATATCCAATAGCATCTTCTGTTTCTTGAATTCGTTTCTGGAACCTGCATCCATCCCTTGCAAATTCTTCCCATGGTCCTTTGCGATCCTCATCACCACTTATATAATATTCAGTAACTTCTTCAAGGAAGGTTACCTACAAAGATAAAGACAAATTTCAACAACTCTCTAGGATGTTACAATTAGCATAGAGGTCAATAATCCTTTATGCTACCAATTATTTCAGAACATAGAATATCTTATTATTCCCAGCTAAGAATGATATCAAGTTCTGACTAGATGGCATTTGGATGAAACAGTGGTCAAATGTCACCTAAATATTTCATATAGAGATATATATCTTTCATCTACCTGTATCTCTCATTTATCTGTATCTACCTGTGTAATACACACACACACACACACACACACACACACACACAAACACACACAGTTGTCTGCCCCCCGTTCCCTGTGCCCTACCGGCCCTTGGCTTTTGGTGTTAGTAAAATGAATCCAGATAGGGAACTGAATTTTTCATGCTGTTATTAACCCTTGCTGTTTTTTAATCCTTAGGGAAATACAGTTCTGTGATATTCTTCCCTCAAAATGACAAGCAAAACATTTCTGAAAATAACCACTGCATCCCCGGAAGTCACTGTTTTTATCACAGCATAAAAGCTTTACCAATATTTTTGCTTACTTTTATTCTTTTTCCTTTAAAATTTTTTTTTTCATTTTTCAGTGCTTTCTAACTTTTAAATCAACATGTAGTACTATTTTTGTATTACTCCTTTGGTAATCACAATATAGAAGAGAGAAAGTTACTTAATAAACAAAGTACAGCCAAATTAGTATTTTTAACGCCATGTTACTATAAGAAACTTTATAGTTAAGATTTTAAAAACCTTTGTATTCAAGATGCTATCACTCTACATATATAAAATTGTGATTCTAATATACATAACAATCCCTACTCATTACTACTTAATCCCTATTTAATTTCTAATAATTTCTTTCTATGATATCAAAGGCCAAAAGTAAATACTTGCTTTAAAGTATGTTTAATAGTTACATCAGCTAACCCCACTGTGGCCTACTACTTTCGTTCCCTTTACATCAGGCCAAGGGATGCCCCTGAGGACAATTAGGTATTTAACACCTTACTAGATATTGCTTTCTAGTCTTGAATATTACTCATTAATTGTGTCATTAAGATAAATAATAAAAACGTAATGTTTATCATATGTCAAGCTCTTTTCAAAGAGCTTTACATTTTTACTTCATTTAATCCTCACAGTAACCCTATGAGGTACGGACTATTATCATCCCCATTATTCGAATAAGAAAACAAACGCAGAAGGGTTTCTTTAGACTCACTATATACTCCATATATTCCATACACCATATTTCATCTTTTCCAATGGCAGGTAGTCAAAGACTGTCAAATAATTCTATCATATTCAGACAAAATCATTTATAAATTCTGCTTCTAGTTCAGAGTCAGTAGTATCACCTACTCTACTCATTTCATTTTACTCAATGAGCAAGCTAAAATTAGACAGGAGACTGGCCTGAGGTCTCTCAATAAGAGCTAGCATTTAAAGGCAAGGCACAATAAATTTTGAGTTTTATTTATTTGTCTCATTCAAGTTTTGCAATAACTTGTATAATAGATATTATTTTTCCCATCATAAGTGAGTAAATCGAGGCCATGAGAGTTAGGTAACTTCCCAAGTCTGGCTGCCTTCCAAATCTCTCGGCCTTAACCACTGAGGGGTAGAGGACGCGGGTCTCCAGCTGTCAAGTGCTCATTCCATTCCCCCACTTTGTTTCTTACCTATTCGTTCTAAATAGGTCATTTTGTCAGGGGCCCCTTAAAAGGATGAGAAAAGCTCTTTTACCATGACATTTACAACGTGTGAACTAAAATTTAATTTTTATTTATTTTTTTTTTTTTGAGACGGAGTTTCGCTCTTGTTACCCAGGCTGGAGTGCAATGGCGCGATCTCGGCTCACCGCAGCCTCCGCCTCCTAAATTCAGGCAATTCTCCTGCCTCAGCCTCCTGAGTAGCTGGGATTACAGGCACGCGCCACCATGCCCAGCTAAGTTTTTGTATTTTTAGTAGAGACGGGGTTTCACCATGTTGACCAGGATGGTCTCGATCTCTTGGCCTTGTGATCCACCCGCCTCGGCCTCCCAAAGTGCTGGGATTACAGGCTTGAGCCACCGCGCCCGGCAAAATTTAATTTTTAACATGACTTATTTTGCCCTAAAGACATAAGATTATCACCAGTTAGAGGTATTTTCTACCCAGGAATAATTTCAAAGTATTAAGCTGGCCATTTGGAGCCAAGAGATTATGGTACTGTCCACTGGAAACTCCCCAATGCTGCAGAATCCGAGGTCGATAATGACTCGCCCCCTATCTTTTCTTTCCAAATAATAGTGTAGGAAACTAAAGAAACTTTCCCTCTACAATAACAGACATCTTTGAGTTTGGGGAGATTCCAATTAATAACTTCAGTTGAATCAACAACAAAGAAAAACAAACTAACTCAAAAGACTCCCCAGATAAGGTTAACCTGACAATGTAATGAAAATAAAATGCTGCCTCAAGTTTTAAGACTAGTCAGGGAATAGGAAACAACTAGTCAGGACAAACCAAGTTAAGTGGCCATCATTGTTCATTATTAATCTGTAGCTGACCACTGATAACTAGCGTTGCATTCCTAAGAAAAGGCAATATCACTTCCTGTATTGGCTTTGACTTTCAATTATAACCATGTGATATCAAAACCACTGAAATTACTATTGCCTTTCATGCCAAACGACCAGATAAATTTGACTTGCTACTTGATACCATTATCCCTTTGGGTTGTAATGGACAGAAATGAAGACACTTTTGTTATATGCAAACAAAATATTAAGTATTTGCAAACAACATACCACATTTAAAATCATTTCAAAACTCTATGACTGTAACAGGACCTTTCCAATCTCTAGAAAATTAAATTGTATATACACAAAGTTTAATGGTCTGGAAAAAAAAAAAAAAAAAAGGTGTGAGAAGTTGATGCTTGTAAGGAAATAGCCCTGAACAACTAATACAAATAAAAATGACACTTTCCTGCTAACATCCACACACTGGTATGTTCGTTTTAGACAAGAACAATGTGCATGGCGGTGGGGGGGTGAGGGAGAGGAGAAGGAGGGTCGTTTACATATTTTTCAATCCAAGCATATGAATTTAGAGGCCTTCCTCAAACACACATGCACTACTAAGCCTCCAAAAAGTCATGCTGCGATATTTAACCATGTCCAGTCAGAACATACCAGGCATGTTAAAAGACAAGAAACAAACCTTTTTTCTTTTGACATGTGTGTGTCTTCCTCCAGAAAGAACTTCACGCTGTACCAAGTCTGGACATTCACTTTCTTGGCTCCCCAACAGCTGCACCTTACAAGAAAGTAAGGTGTGACACTCAGAAATGGCCACAATGGACTCAGATGGTGCCTTTGAGTCACGACAGCCTTTCCAATTTCCCCCTGATGTTTGAAAAGGAGCCTTAAAATTTAAAGGGTTGTAGGGGTCATCAGAATTACAGAAAGAGTTCCACAGTTTGAGACTCTCTGCTTCATCTGCACTAGATTCCCAGTCATCTTCCTCCCCAGAACTATGCTCAGGGGTCTCAGAAAGGCTCCCTGACTGGGAGGAATTCTCTAGATCAGACTTGCCAGACAAATCCTTCTCTGAATCAGAAGGCTCTTCAGGAACAATTCTGGCAGCAGTCTGAATTGTTGCTGTAAAGTTCTGGGGATTGTAAGGATCTACACTGTAGAAAGAGTTCCAAAGGTGAAGCCCTTCAGGGTCTTGTTCAAGGTCTGAGTCTGACAGTGAGCTATCACTATCAAAACCATCATCCTCAGCTTCCTCATCCCAATCCTCACCTTCTGGATCGGAACTTGTTTCCAGGTCACTGGATGCACCTCCCAAAATATAATCTATGAGTTTGTTACTACAAGCTGGTCTGGCAGAAATGGGAAGGGCATTTCCTATGCACGAGTAGTCAATCACACTTATTCCGTCCTCTCCAGGCTCCTTTTCCATAGGTATCTCACAAGATGGACAGCTCTCGGAAGGGCTCTGTTTTTCCAAAGCAAGTGGAACCTCTTCAGTTAACAATTCTGTTTTTTCTTCAGTGGATTCCTGGGTGGTTCCAGGAATGTCTCCAGCAGGGGGAACAAACTGTGTTGGGTTACCTCTGCAGTGCTTCAGATCCATCCGGAGAAGGCTGTGCTCCTCCTCCAGGCTGTGGTAGCCATTATCTTGGTCAGGGGTGGGTAACTCTTGTCCCTTGCTAGCCTGCTGAAGGAATTCCAGCCGTTTCATGCGAAGATGGTGAATTTCTGGTAGGCCTTCCGTAGAAAGAGGCGGACATCCCTGCCACGAGGCCGGAGTGAGCTCTGCACTCAGCGGCTGGGGATGACAATGGTCCTCTCTCAGGCGGCTGCTCTCTGAGGTTAGTGTCTGGAAGCCGACTAAATCGCCATTTCCATCACCGTTCTGATAGCTGACTTCTAGCCGAGGAAAGCAGTCCGCGTAGGAAGAGTTCAGCAAATAGGAGACCACGCTGAAATTGTCTACGCGTTGAATGTTTAGAGACCGGGAGGGCGAAGAGCCAAGTTCCCGGTCAGAGTACAGACGGGATTGAAGGCTACTGGGCAACAGTTCCACTCCCCACAGCTGCTGCTCTAAGAGAAATGCGTGTGCTGCAGGGTCCAAAGCACTTCCCTTGGCTTTAAGCTCCAAATCGAAGTCTGGGGGCGAGCATTGCCAGTGGATCCCCTCCTCTAACCAATCAAGAGGACTGGAAGCCAAGGGGTCCGAGGGGTCCAGCTGGAGCGAACTCAAACATTTTTGCGCTGTGGGGGCGGCTTGTTTCTCGCGTCCCTTCAGGGTTCTCAGGGCGCTGTGGACTCCAGCAAAATCTAGCCATCTGGTAGGGAACATTCCACCGAAAAGTTGACCCCAAATCAGCAGCTTCTGAAGCAATCCGGGGAGCGGCGCGAGGAGCTGGGAGAGCAACCTCGTCCAGTAGCTGACCCGAGTCTCGGGCCGGGCGGAGGAAAGCAGGGTGGGCTTCCCGGAGTTTTCCGGGGCAAGAGGCGTGGAGAACTTGGAAGAGGCTGCTCGCGATCGCCAAGGGAAAAAGGGTAGCCAGAACCGGGAGCCCGCCCGAGGGCTGGGCCGTTTCCGCGATCCGCCCGTCCCCGGCTCCATCTCCTTTTTCTTGGCAGTCTCTCGGTTAGGGCCGCGGCGCTGGCGGCTGGAAACGGAACTCGGGGGAAGCCTACAGAATCTCGGCCCTGCCCAGCGGGGGCGTCGGTGCTCCAGGCCGATTTCGGAGCCAGCAGAAAAGCCACAGAGGGCAGCGGAGGCGGCAACCGGCGGCAGAACGCAGGGACGAACGGCCGGCACAGGAGGCGGCGGCTGACGCGACTTCCATCTCGGCGGGAAAAGAAGTTCCCTAGTCGTCTCGACGCTTCCACGACATCGATGGGAGCCCGCCCGCGGCCTCGGCGGCGGTTTTCGGAGTGACAAGGTTGAAAGGCCCCTGAGCAGCGCGACACCGGAAGGGCTGGGCAGGCCGACGGGCGCGGTGCAAGCGAAGCCCAAAATGGCCGCAGAGCTCGCGCGCCGGCAGGACACCCCCTCCTCGGGCGCCGGATGAGACGCAGGACTGCCAGGCTGTGCGCCGCCAGCGCCGCGCCGCCTGACGTCACTCGTTCAGCCCCCAGGGGCGGGCCTTTCCGCCCACATCCGCGTGGCTGCCGATTGGTCTCCTCAGACTTCCTGCCGGCTTCCTTACTCGAGGGAGGGGGGCGCAGCGGCTCGAGGTTGCATCAGCCGGCGGGATGGGCGCATGCGCAGTCGTTGCTCTGTGGTCTCCTAGGAGACCGCCCCTGCAGCCCTCTGGGTTAAAGGGCTTGGGCAGCGAGTTTCCAAGATAACCCGAGAATTTCCCGGAGGCCCTTTGATGGCCTAATACACACCGACGTGTGTACGTCATCCGCTGGTATGCCATGGGGATTGGGTCCAGGACCCCTTAGACGCCAGAATCCGCAGATGGTCAAGTCCCTTATGTAAAATGGCAAAGTGTTTGTTTATAACCTGCATACACCTTCTCAGATACTTTAAATCTCCCTAAGATTAAGTATGATACCTAATACAATGCAAGGGCTATATAGTAGTTATACTGTATTTATTTGTATTATGTTTTGTTTTTTTCTGTAATGTTTTCAATCCATGAAAGGTTGACTGCCCCATAGGCCAACTGTAGGCTTCTCGTAGTCTTAGATTTTTATTATTCATTTGTTTATTTGAGACAGGGTCTGGCTCTGTTGCCCAGGTTGAAGTGCAGTAGTAGGATCTCGGCTCACTGCAGCCTCAACCTCCTGGGCTCCAGCGAGCCTCCGACCTCAGCCTCCGGTTGGAGCTGGGATTGCAGGCACGCACCACCACACCCAGCTAATTTCTTTCTGTTTGCTTGTTTTTGTTTTTGAAATGAAGGAGTCTCACCCTCTCACCAGGCTGGAGTGCAGTGACGCGATCTCGGCTCACTGCAACCTCCACCTTCCGGGTTCAAGTGATCGTCCTGCCTCAACCTCGGGAGTAGCTGGGACTACGTGCACGCGCTACCAGGCCCAGCTAAATTTTGTATTTTTAGTAGAGAGGGGGTTTCACCATGTTGGCCAGGATGGTCTGGCTCTCTCGACCTCGTGATCCACCCACCTCCACCTTCCAAAGTGCTGGGATTACAGGCATGAGCCGCCTGGCTGGCCAACTTTCGTGTATTTTCTGTAGAGACAGGGTTTCGTCATGTTGCCCAGGTTGGTTTCAAACTCTGAGCTCAAGTGATATGCCCTCCTCGGCCTCCTAAAGTGCTGGGGTTATAGGCGTGAGCCACCGCACCCAACATGACAGATATTTCAGGGTTATCCTATTTCTGAGGACTACCTAGACCATCAACCTGAGATCTTGTGTAAAAGTTGGGCAGTGCTGTGTAAATATATGTCTGATGTGGGGCAAACTAAAGTCACAGAGAAGCAGCTCAGTCCCCGGAACTGTTTACTCTTTTATGCTTCCAACCAGGCAGCATGTTGAATTCATATTTATTAATACTTTCTTAGCAACCGGAAACACAGAACACAACACCCAAAAAGAAAACATGGATCACTATCCTTTGGAAAAAAATTGGCTGGTAATTTTAATTGCTGTATTTGATTCTCTCTTGTGGGTTTGGTCTTAGTTCATTTATTTCTGCTACAACTTTTTAATAGATACCCCTGAAGTCAAATATCGATTACAGAGAGGGGTGGCAGCTATGAGCACTAGGGACAGCAGAAAAGTCTTTAGGGACCCAAAAGACCAGCAACGCCTCCTGTCTTACTGGACCTGTTCAAGGAACAATCACTTCTTTCTTTCTTTCTTTCTTTCTTTTTTTTTTTTTTTGTTTGAGACAGAGTCTTGCTCTCTCGCCCAGGCTAAAGTGCAACGGCAGGGTCTCAGCTCACTGCAACCTCCACCTCCAGGGTTCAAGCGATTTTTCTGCCACAGCCTCCCAAGTAGCTGAGACTACAGGCGCGTGCCACCACACCTGGCTAATTTTTGTATTTTTAGTAGAGACAGGGTTTCACTATGTTGGCCAGGCTGGACTCGATCTCCTGACCTCATGATCTGCCCACTTCGGCCTCCCAAAGTGCTGGGATTACAGGCGTGAGCCACAGTGCCTGACCACAACCACTTTCTAGGAAGCCAAGAGGACTCAGTTTGTGTTGTTTACCCTGTATTAGTATCCATGCCTCTGGAAAATCTCACTTCTTGATCCTAAGAACTTCAGAAAAAATGTATTAATAATAGAAGTCAGTTGCATAATAGAGATCCCAGTATGCAAATTCGTTACTGGAAGCCTGTTTCTTGTAAAGCAAGGCTAATAATTCCTCTTTCAATGGCCTGGTAAGAAAACTGTGTTTTCTCAATGCCTAGCCTAGACAGAGTAGGGGTCACAAAGATTAGCTAATATTCTCCTGTGATTCTGCTTTACAGTCTTCAGTTGTTTCCTCATTGCCTGCAGAATAAAGGCTCTCTTCAGCCTGCCCTCCCACTGTGCTCTTCCAGCCTCCTCTTCTGTCACTTGTCTTCATGCATGTTATATTCTAGGAACATCGGGCTTACCTGTACTCCTTGTTTCATGTCTTAACTCGTGCTGTGTCTCAGCCAAGAAAAGCTGCACCTTTCTTCTTATACACCTACTCATCCTTCAAGATCCAACTCAAACGTCAGCTTCTCCTTAAAGCCTTCGTTGACCTTTCCAGCCAGAATTAATAGATCCCTCACAGCACTTACATCATTCTGCTCTATTAAAGCACTTAATACATTGTATTATATATACCTGTAACTATTCTCTCTTGCTGGTCCCTGAACTCCTTGAGGGCTGTATCCAACTGTCTAGCAAAGTGGTTCCCAGAATATACTCTGGGCACCCCTGGAGATCCTGCTTTGAAACCCTTTCAGAGAGTCCTGAAGGCCAAAAATATTTTTATAATAATTCTAAGCTTTTCTTTTCCTTTTCAACTCTTGTTTCCTCATGAATGTACAGTGAAGTCTTCTAGAAGATATGTGGTGTGTGATCTAGCAATAGAATGACTGCAAAAGCAGATAGATATGAGATTCTAGCCATTTTATATTAAGCCAGATATTTAGACATTTGAAAAAAATGTAAGACAGTGCCACTCTTCTCACTAAGCTTTTTAGTTCTGAAAAATAATTGAACATTACCAGCCTGGGCAACATGGCAAAACCCTGTCTCTACAAAATATGCAAAAATTAGCTAGGCATGATGGTGCACGTCTGTGGTCCCAGCTACTCCGGAGGCTGAAATGAGACGATCACTCAAGCCCGGGAGGCAGAGGTTGCAGTGAGCCGAGATTTTGCCACTGAACTCCAGCCTGGGCGGGCAACAGAGTGCGATACTGCCTCAATCAATCAATCAATCAATCAATAACATGTAATGGGTTTATTATTTTTAATTCAATTTTTTTTTAAATTTTGGGCCAGACATGGTGGCTCACACCTGTAATCCCAGCACTTTGGGAGGCTGAGGCAGATGGATCACGAGGTCAAGAGATGGAGACCATCCTGGCCAACATGGTGAAACCCTGTATCTACTAAAAAGACAAAAATTAGCTGGGCCTGGTGGCATGCGCCTGTAGTCCCAGCTATTTGGGAGGCTGAGGCAGGAGAATTGCTTGAACCTGGGAGGCAGAGGTTGCAGTGAGCCAAGATGGTGCCACTGCTCTCCAGCCTGGCAACAAAGTGAGACTCTGTCTCAAAATAAATAAATAAAATAAAATTGTATTGTTATTTATTGTTAGAGACAGGGTCTTATATGTGGCCCAGGCTGGAGTGCAGTGGGTATTCACAGGTGCAATCCCAGAATGCTATGGCCTTGAACTCCTGGGCTCAAGCAGTCCTCCTGCCTCAGCCCCCCAAGTAGCTGGAACTACAGGTACCTACCACCACACCCAGCCTAAATGAACATTTTTCAGTATCTTGGTTTCGAATGACCTCGTGATCCACCTGCCTCGGCCTCCCAAAGTGCTGGGATTGTAGGTGTGAGCCACCACGTCCAGCCAGTTTTGAATTCTTAAATAGGAAATATTGATAGATATAAACCATGTAAAGGCATAAAGTTATTTGGAGTCCTTAGTAATTTTTTTTTTTTTTTTTTTTGAGACAGGGTTTTGCTGTGTTGCCTGAATTAGAGTGCAGTGATGCAATCATGGCTCACTCCGCCCTTGAACTCCCAGGCTCAAGCAATCCTCCCACTTCAGCCTTCCAAATTGCTGGCATCACAGGTGTGTACCACCACACCAGGTTAATTTTTTTCTTTTTATTCTATTATTATTTTTTTGAGATGGAGTCTCTGTGGCCCTTGCTGGAGTCCAGTGGTGCGATCTCAGCTCACTGCAACCACTGCCTCCTAGGTTCAAGCAATTCTCCTGCCTCAGCCTCCCAAGCTGCTGGTATTACAGGCACCCACCACCATGCCTGACTCATTTTTATATTTTTTTAGTAGAGACAGTGAAATATATTTTATATTTCACCACGTGTGCCAGGTTGGGATTTTTTTTTTTTTTTCTTTTTAGTAGAGATGAGGTTTCACTATGTTGCCCAGGCTGGTCTCAAACTCCTGAGCTCAAGCAATTTGCCTATCTCTGCTTCCCAAAGTGCAGGGATTACAGGCATGAGCCACTGCACCTGGCTGGGGCCCTCAATAATTTTTAAGATTATAAACTTTCTCCTGAGACCAGAAAGTTTAAGAATCATTGAGGTAGTATGTTGACTGGCACATAATAGGCAACCAATAAATGTCTGTTGAATGAACAGAAGAGTAATAATACTTTAAAATAATGTCATCTTCCTTAAGAGCAAGCCTCTTGCATTCCACTGTCAACTTTTTCACTGACTGATAGCACATACGCCTGAAAACAATTTCTTAAAACTTTCTTGAATGGGCCTCCCCTTCCCCATGTAGTCATTGGATATATAATTTTTATTCTTCCTTATGTTGGAAGTTGTCCTAGAGAGGGAAAATGCAATCCTAAAGTATTTGGGCTAGGCACGGTGGCTTATGCCTGTAATCCTAGCACTTTGGGAGGCCAAGATGGGCCGACTGCTTGAGCCTAAGAGTTCAAGACCAGCCTGAGCAACATGG